TGATATTCTTAGGAACTGAGAAATGTTACCAAGCCAGTGCTTTCTGGTGGTGTCCTGTAAAATTACTGGGAGTAATTATTGGGATTTTTTTTTCCATGGGTGAGCTGCAAAGCAATGAATGTTATTCATAGATTAAGTTATTGGTTACAATTTTTGAGTCATTTTCCCCACAATTTAATATGTTTTTACCTTTTATGCATTAGAATATCATTTCCTTTCCCAAAGTTTGGATGTGGTCTCCTATCCTTAGGATGCTAAACCTAGCAGATCCTCGAAATAAGGCCAGCAGAGAACATTCGGGGGAGAGAGGAAAATAGAGAATAAAGTGTTTAGGAAAGAGAGTGAAGGGAGGCAGAGGGACTTGATGAAGAGAATTCCAAGAAACTGGTTTTATTTATGACTGTTTCCACTCAGTTAATATTTTGGAACATTTTGAATGAGATAACATTCTTAATTTCAAAACACCAACTGCATCACTGCTCTTGTTAGTTTATTTTAGGGTAAAAGTCCAACACTTAATTCCTCTAGGGAAACTTTTCTTGTGAAATTTCTGTCCCCACCCCCTCAGAGGCATAGAGGACAAGATGTGTACAGAGATATGGGTAATTGTGAGCTTTGGGGTCCCATTTATGCAGAAGCACTGGGGACCAAGTTGGACAAACTGAACCTTGAGAAAGGACTGGCGAGATCCACTGAGCTTTGTGCTTTGCTAAATGTGATAGAAATGAAACGCAGCCACCCTTTGAGAGCTTTGGCCTCTGCAAAAGTTTTCCCGGTCAGCATCACTGCTCTGTTTCTTTTCCTGTGTCAGATTTGGCAAACAAGGTGCTTCCTTGATGTGACGATATCATGACGTGAAGTGAGTCAGAAATGCTAGTGAATGAAAGGTTAAAGTTAAAGCTAAATTTGACTGGAAGTGGCTTCTACAAAATATATGAATTTTAGGTTTTTTTCCTGAAAAATAAAATTAACCTTCACATTGCCTCATGTTACAAGACAATGTCAAAAAACAAAGGAACAAAACAAGCACACAGCATCAGTTCCTGTTTGCAAACTGATTTTCTGAAACCCTCCACAATCCTCCCTCAGTGCAGAGCCTTCCTGGAATGCTGTTGTTACACCTCCTGAGAACTCGGAGGGGATTTATGTGACTGGCTGGTTTGATAGTTGAAAAAAAAAAAAAAGTTGCAGGGGGCTGGAGAGATGGCTCAGAAGTTAAGAGCACTGAGTGCTCTCCCAGAGGACCTGAGTTCAATTCCCAGCAACCACGTGGTGGCTCACAAACATCTATATTGATATCTGGTGCCCTCTTCTGTCGTATAGGCATAGATGCAAGCAGAACACTGTACACAGTAAAATAAATAAATCTTAAAGAAAGAAAAAAGTGGCAGGTTCACAGAGCCTGCCTCTGTGTGCTCTTAGAGAAGAACCGCCTACCAAGTGGGTTGATGGTGCTGGATGCTATAGATATTGTATTTAAGTTTCTTTTAGGTTAGAATATAAGGAAATGTTTTTTTGTCAGTGCATCTTTAATGCACTGTGTTATACTTTCCTCTCCTTTCTTTCCTTTCCTGACTCTGTTCTCTGTTGCCCCGTGGCTCACCTCCTCCTTTCTCCCTAGTAATCCCCGCTTCTGCCTTCTTGTCATATGCATGCCACTGCCTTATTGCCTGCCTCTCTTCAGATCTCTTCCCCCATCTCCTGATCCCTTTCCAGATTTTCATCATACACAGGCACACACAGACGACCTCACCCCATTCTTAATTTTAAGTCTAGATTTTGTGTCTAAGAGAAAATCAGGGATTTCCTTTCCTAGTCTAGTTGATTTCACCTGGATCAATGATTTTCTGTTGTGCCCATTTTCCTGTACATGTCATTTTTTATTTTTGAGATGTTCTTTAAAGGTGTCTCGCAATAGAGTCTAGAATGAAGAAACAAATGGCTTTTCAGCTTTATAACTTTTAGCATGCATGATCTGTAATGTCTCTGTAGTTTTAGTTTAGCCACTTTACAGTAAAAAACTGATTTGATCTCAATCTGTATAAAACCAGGATTAAATAATACATCTGGAAAGAAATTGATGTACCTTGCCAGAAACAGTTTCAATTCCTAACTGCCATTGAAGGGAAATGCCAATGTGACTTCATATAAAACCCTAGAAAGTCTAGCAGTAGCTACAGATTTTGTCTGCCAGGGATACATCATGTAAAAGACTCCCTGTGGTCAGTTTAGTTTCTCAGAGCTGGGAAGGAGCAAGGCAGTGTGGGAGGGACAGAGTGGTGGACTGTGGGGTTGTCTCACAGATTCCCCAGGAACTCTTTTTTTTTAAATATAATTTTTTATTGAAAAAAAAAAAGATTTCCGCCTCCTCCCCGCCTCCCATTTCCCTCCTCGTCTCCCTTTTCCCCCCTCCTCCCTCTCCTCTCCCCCTCCCCCC